GGGGCCCCCCCCGGCGGCGGGGGGGGGGGGGGGCTCACCAGCCCCAGCTCTGCAGAGGCCGTGGCACAATGCGTGTATGTGTGCCACGGCCTGTGGCTTCGGCTGCTGGATGTAACGAACAATGCGCCTGTTCGTACAAACTCAGACGGTTCCAGGGCCACCTGGAGAACCAGTTTGGTGTCGTGGTTAAGAGTGCGTGGACTCTAATCTGGGAGAACCGGGTTTGATTCCCCACTCCTCCGCTTGCAACTGCTGGGTGACCTTGGATCAGTCACAAGTTCTCTCACAGCTGTTCTCTCAAGGGCAGTTATGTCAGAGCTCTCTCAGCCTTGCGTGTCTTTTGTGCAGACGACAGGCAGGGGTCCGGTCCTCTTTCATCCAGGCGACTCCTGGGAGCTCTTTAACTTCAGCTGATTGTGGCCTGTCCCTGAGCACAGCCACTGGCACGGGGGGCTTCCAGGGTGAAGGCAGTGAAGAAACCAGGAAACCAGGGGCAGCCCCCCACCCACACGAAGAGCAGCGGGAGTGCCCTCCCTCCACCACCTTGCCCATCACACCCGTGGAGGGCGGGGGGCGCGGGGGCCAGCCCTCTGGGGAAACCAGGATGTGCTCTGATTGACGCTCAGGGCGGGTCCTTCCAGGGAGGGAGTCCCGCAGGCAGGGCGCCCCGGCCAGGAGAGGCCTCTGGCCGGACTACTCCTGGCAGGATCCCTCTGGATTACAGTCCCCCCCCCTTCAGCCCCGTTCCTACCTTGGGAGCCCCGTCTGCAGCCAGTCCAGGCCTGGGAGGGGGAAGACTCTCTCCTCCTCCTGCTCCTCCTCCTCCTCTCTCGGCCACAGGGAAGTCCCAGGTGGCTGCGCTCCTGGAACGGTTCTATGACCCCACAGCGGGCACCATCTCCCTGGACGGGCAGGACATCAGCACCCTGGACCCTTCCTGGCTCCGGGGGGAGGTCATTGGCTTCATTAACCAGGTGAGGAACAGGGGGCAGAAGACGGGCTGGACTCTTCACACACACGTGCGCACACACGCACACCCGCAGTGAGGGAAGGGAGCTGATCGGGGGCAGCTTCCAAAAGCAAAGTGGAAGGAAGCGGCTCTGGTAGGGACCTGCAGCTAAATTAGGGGACTCTCCCCTGGGAAGGGGTGTGGCGGAGACTGGCACAGAGGAGTTGGGTGCAGTGTCCCCTCTAAGCTGAGTTGGTGTGAGCTAGCTCACAGATTGTTAGCCTCCAGCTCACATTTCTGCCTTGGCTCAGGAAGGACGGCTCCAGAGCAAACTGATTTACGCAGTAGCCGAATCGATCGCTCGCAACTTTAATGCCAGGAGCTCACAAAGTAGAATTTTTGCTCACAAGACTCCACAGCTCAGAGGGAGCATTGCAGCCAGTGTTCCCTCTCAGCTGAGTTAAGTGTGAGCTAGCTCACGGTTTCTTAGCCTCCAGCTCACACACTTTTGCCTTCATTCAGGAAGGGATGGGGCTTCAGAGCAGACTGATTTACGCAGCAGCCAAGCCGCTCGCTCACAGCTTTAATGCCAGGAGCTCACAAAGTAGGATTTTTGCTCACAAGACTCCACAGCTTAGAGGGAGCGTTGGCTGGGTGTGTTCTCTGCTTGGAGTGCATGACAGGAAAGCAGAGGTGTGGAAGCCTTTGGGGAGAGTCTGTGTCGGAGCGGGGGGGGGGTCGGAGTCCCTTGGCTGCCAGAGGCGGGATCCCTCTGCTCTGAGGGGCTGAATGGTGACTGGGTCCCTCGTGCGTCCTGCTTGTGGATTTCTCCAGAGCACCTGCCGACACGATGCGCTCCGTGCACCTTAACGTCTGGCATCGCGGGGCAGCTGTGACAGTGTGGCTGGAGAAGGCAGGCCTGTTCTCCCCAGCAGGAGGTGGGGAAGGCGCAGAGGCCCCCCGGCTGCTGCTGCTGCTGGAACTTGATTCCTGTCCTGGTTCTGCGCCTTCTTCTGCCACTGCAGGAGCCGGTGCTGTTCAGCACGTCCATCATGGAGAACATCCGCTTTGGCAAGCCGGACGCCTCTGACGCCGAAGTCCACGCCGCAGCCCTCCTGGCCAACGCCGACAGTTTTATCCGCAGCTTTCCCGAGGGGTACAACACTGTGGTGGGTCAGTGAGAGCGGGGACTCTTGCGGGGGGGCGGGGGTGTTGCAGCACAGGAGGAAGGCCACGAGCCTGTCTCTGACCCACCGGAGGCTCCGCAGCCTCCCCCTCCTCCCTCCATTTCCCAGAAGTCTCGTCATCCGATTCTGCCACAGTCTCTGCAAAGACCACATTTTGGGGTCACCTACTGACTTTTTTGGAATTGGAAAAGGCCATTTTTATTTTCATTTTGGAGCACTGACCCAACAATATGTGTGTAGCGGGGGAGAGTCCTCCCTGCTGTTACCCTAGAGGGGGGGAAGGGGCCTTCAGGAGAGGAAACGCAGAGCCTGGACAAGAGAAGCCCGGCTGGGTCAGACCAGCGGTGGGTCTATGGCTGCCTCCCATCTCACACAGTGGCTGGCCAGTTGCCCCGCAGGGCCAGCGAACGGGGCGTGAAGACCAAGGGCTCCCTGATGTTGCCTCCTGGCACTGGGATTCAGAGGATTACTGCCTCTGTCTGGGGAGTTCCCCCCCCCGACAGCCGCCTCTCCACCTTCTGCTTCAAGACCACCAGAGAAGGAGAGCCACACCATTCATCCATCCACACACACACACCCAATTCCATTGTCGAGCTGCTCTGGCTGCTCCTGATTTCTTTCCATCTCCTTCCTGTCTCTTAACCTCCTAAGATCTGGCCTTGCTCGCTGGAACAACTTTGTCCTTTTCTCTGTGACCACTGAGCTCTGGATCTGTGTGAACATCATGCCCCAAAGACGTGGATTTTGGGGTTGCTGAACTTGGGAGAGTTGTGGTTCTAACGAAAGGGTTTCCACCAGCCAGAAACGCTGAAGGATGAAAGACCAGAAGGTTTCTGGGGGCCCCCACACACCAGTGTTCCCTCTAAGCTGAGTGAGTGTGAGCTAGCTCACAGTTCTTTAGCCTCCGGCTCACAGAGTTTTGTCTTAGCTCAGGAAGGGATGGCTCCAGAGCAAACTAATTTATGCAGCAGCCAAATCGCTCCCTCACAACTTTAGCGCCAGGAGCTCACAAAGTGGAATTTTTGCTCACAAGACTTCACAGCTTAGAGGGAGCATTGCCCACCACCACCACCAGCAGCAGCAGCACACGGGGTGAAAGTGGAGGAAAATAGCATTTCAAACAGAACTGAGTGATAGGTGGGAACCTGCTGACTCTTAAAAGAAGGTGGTGGTGGGGAGGACAGAGATGGCGGGGTGTGTGGCTATTGGCCTGATTCCTTTCCCCTGGCAGGGGGGGGCCTCTCCCCCCCTCCCCGTCGGTCTCCCTGTGTCCTGACCCCTGCCCCCCTCCCTCCCCCCCCAGGTGAGCGTGGGGTGACCTTGTCCGGCGGGCAGAAGCAGCGGGTGGCCATCGCCCGGGCGCTCATCAAGAACCCCACGGTGCTGATTCTGGATGAGGCCACGAGTGCCCTGGATGCAGAATCGGAGCACGTGGTCCAGGAAGCCTTGGATCGGGCGGTGGCCGGCCGCACTGTGCTGGTCATCGCGCATCGGCTCAGCACCGTGCAAGCGGCTGACCTCATCGTGGTGCTGGCGAAGGGGCGTGTGGCAGAGGTGAGAGGGGGGATCTCTTCCTGGGGGGGGGGAGAGCTCAGGAAGGAGGAGGTTGGAGGGACGAGACCATGACGGGGGGGGGGAGGCAAGTTCTCTCTTTAGTTGCAGAGGGTCACAGGCAGTGTTCCCTCTAAGCCGAGTGTGAGCCAGCTCGCAGTTCTTTAGCCTCTGGCTCACACATTTCTGTCCCAGCTCAGGAAGGATGGGGCTCCAGAGCAAACTGATTTATGCAGTCGCCGAAATCGCTCGCTCACAGCTTTAATGCCAGGAGCTCACAGAGCAGAATTATTGCTGTCAGGACCAGTATTCCCTCTACGCTGAGTCAGTGTGAGCCAGCTCACAATTTCTTAGCCTCCAGCTCACAGATTTTAATCTGAGCTCAGGAAGGGATGGGGCTCCAGAGCAAACTGATTGATGCAGCAGCCAAATGGCTCGCTCACAACTTTAATGCCAGGAGCTCACAAAAGTAGGATTTTTGCTGACAGGACTCCACGGCTTAGAGGGAGCGTTGGTCACTGTGTTGGTTGGTGTACAGCTGAATTCAAGAGCAGCCCAGGGGCTGAGCTTTGCACATTCAGGGCTCCCTTGGCCAGAGGTGGAGGGCGGTTTCTTTCTTCAGAGGATGCTTGTGCCCAGCGCGGGTAATCAGCAATGCTCCCTCTAAGCGGTGGCATCTTGTGAGCAAAACTTCCACTTTGTGAGCTCCTGGCACTAAAGTTGTGAGCGAGCCATTTGGGTGCTGCCTCAATTAGTTTGCTCCGGAGCCCTCCTTCCTGAGCGAAGACAAAAATGCATGAGCTAAAGGAGGCTAAAGAACTGAGGGGCGGTGGGGGCGCCAGGGCGCGGAGGCCCCCTGGCCGGGCTGACTGTGGCCGCCTCTAGTCTCGTCTCGTCTCCCTCCTCCTGCAGGCCGGCAGCCACGCCGAGTTGCTCCGCCGGGGCGGCCTCTACGCCGAGCTGATCTGCCGCCAGACGAGGGACGCCGCGGCCGCCTGAGCCTGGAGCCCCGCCCGCCCCCTCCAATAAACCACGCCTCTTTCCC